CCCCCCCTCCTCCCTTCCAAAAGTTCCCCGTTGTTCTTGTTCACCACCATGACAAAGCTTTACGGAACGTTATTATTTGTTTTTGTGTGTGTAAATAGGAATTTATAAGTCGTCCACAACGCGTGTTGATATTGTTAGAGAGCAGTATTTATGTTTTGAAATAAACTTTACAGTAAGAGACAGAGATGCTATCGACCCTTTCATTTTCCCTGTCCACCCGTGAGAAAACATTGAAACGAAACGAGTTTAGAGGGGCACTCGTTTCAGATCGATAAGTATGTGTAATTCCGATATCGATCCCGGTGAGCTGACGAGCGCCGGTGGAGTAGGCAACCCATCGCGCACGGGGGCGCTCCGTGAAGCTCGCCCGCTGCACAGCAGGGGCGCCGCCGCACGAGCTAGCTCGCCACAGCGATACACCTTGACGTCGAACGCCGAAATTATACGTCAATTTTCGGACTGCAACCATCCGAACGCACGTCTAATCGACGCCTATACCAGGGCACTCACTCACAAGCAGCGTCTCGTATGGCAAGGGCCGTTATAACATTTCAAACTAACGAAACCTATATTTGCCAAGTCGCATATACACCCATCTGAACGTGGCTATGACGGCGGTCTGCGCTGCCGCCGCTGCCGCCTCAGCACGCTCAGCATCGCTCAGCACAAAACACGACGGGCCGCGCGGTCAGCAGAAGCGATGTGCCCATCTCCCCGGCTGGGCGACGACGGCGACGCAGTCCCTGGCGCTTCCCTGCAGCACCTGCGGCTGCGTCGGAGGTAGCCGTTCTCCCTCTGACGAATCCCCATCCCACACCTGGCTCTAGCTAGCCCCATTTTGTGACAATATTCGAGAAAAGAGAATTTTTTTGCACGGCACTTCTATTTGAACTTGGATTTGTAAAAATAGAAGAGTTTGGGAGGTCATCGCATGGCTAATACGGCAACATTTTTTCCCCAGGTCGGTGAAGACTTTATGGGAGACCGTGGCATCGTAAAAGAGAAAAGAGTACGTATGCGCACCAACCAGACTGTCAGGCCGCCGACCAGACCCACACGGACACCTGCTGCAGGCGACAGCGTTTTCTGTCGAGAATATTTTGAAACACGCGCAAAACGACGACGACGGGGGAACATGCTTGCACTCGTGACGCCGAGGTGGCGCTACCGTCGATCCAACCCAGACGCTTTTTCCAGCCCGTAGCCAGAGCAGTGGCAACAACGTCGGCGACTGCACCCAGCTCGGCGTCGACGCAGACGACGACGTCCACGTCCCCGCCCGCACCGCGACCGCACGGCGACGCCCGCATCTCAGTGCAGCCGCTCCCTGCAGGAGATCCAGAAGGGCGACCCGGCCCGGCTACAGCAGCAGCGTGTCAATAGAGGAGAGGCCACAAGCTGCTGGCTCCCCGGCGAGGTCCTAGACCAGACCACCACGAGGCGCTGAGCGGACCGGACATACAGAGGACCCAGACCAGCCCCAACTAGCACCATGCCGGCCGACTACGACATCTCCGTCCAGCCGGTGCCCGAGTGGGGTGAGTCAGTTTAACTATACTGCTTGATTCGTTGTGCAGTGCAATATGTGACGGATATATGCGTTTGGCCTTGGAAAGTCCATGGTGCTCGCTATTTTGGTACAGTATTTTCGAGGGACGTCGAGCAACGTTTAGATGGTTCTATAGTCGTGCCCCCGGCTTTCTGTTTCGACGGGTACGTTTAGATACACCTGTTTTGTTTACGTCAGAGCATCCAAAAGAGCAGGCTGTTGCGGGCTTCTTTAACATGGGCGGAGGAGGGAGTAGCGCGCACCAGCCTGCAATTTTGGAGGCACTGGTTTACGTTGTCCTGCATAGTGAGAAAGATGTGTCAAACAAGTATAGTGGTCGCCGCCCTATCTCCTCCCTGCTACTGCTGCCACTACCCCTACCAACCAGCCCCGCCCCACCGCCCCCTG